TTTATTCGTCGACCTGTGTTGCAGGCTAAAATCAGATTATTTGAAGTAGTCAATGGTTGCGAATATTTTATTGATAGTATATCTAGCATAAGCTTTCGCTATACCATAAATTCAAAGTGATGGAAATGCAAGTAAGTTTCTCGTACGCGGTGTATATGTCACCGAAATATACTGCTGTTTTGTGGTGGACAAGACAATATACAAACTCAAAAGTGATAATGGAGTTATTAAGATTTTGAACTGACATCTCGACCTGTTGCAATAGTCGATAGGATAAAGAAATTTGTAGGCCGCCGTTTTAAAATGAAATATATAATAGTTTTATAAGCGATTTAATTGACAGATTTTGCTTCAAACTGTCATATGAAACAAGAGACAGATAAGCTATTCGGTTTGAGTAGGATCCATGCCAGATTAAAATAACATGATCCAGTGTAGGTAAAAAACCTAAAGAAATTTCTTCACGTCTATTTACTTTGCGCGCTTTCTCCTCACTGCTTTTATCCATTCAATGTAGACAGCATCACGCAGTTGACTTGATGGCTGGTAGAACACTTGAACGAATAGATCGATATATCTATCACAAACGTTGAAAAGATATTATTTGGGTAAAGATAAACAATCTTTATTTGTGTATATTAAAATGGCATAATATTCTCACATGTCTTGACCAGCTCCAGCTAAAATTCAAGGGTTGTTGATAACAAATCATGAAGTAATTTGTCAATCGTCTTGCAAAGTTAAGCTGCCTCAACAGGGTTGAATCTGTTAGAGCGAGTGAAAAAGCTTATCAAAGGGAAATTTGTCTGTAACTACATCGTTTGCGCTGAAGATGTATCCGACACATAGGTCGAGATTGGATTGTAATGGTATTGGATCCTAGCCACACTCATCAAAGCTGATCATGAGATTGCTTGAAAAATAAACTTTCAACATGTAACACTAAGAAAAGGTTAATAATGGTGGACGCGGTAACATTCATTCGAAACCGACTAGTCGGACGGCATGGCTTGGCATTGCAGTCGTGGTCATACTTATGCAAAGTATTGTTATCCATTTTAAATAAATTGTTTTATATCCAGCCTAAATATGTTCTTCATCACATATTGATGACTGTTACAATACGATGATTCAGTATAGACAATGATGTGACTTCCATGTACAAATTAGTCAGTTACATCATGAAAAGTCTACAGTTTAAGAATTAAGTCTGTTATAAGAGTAGTACTAATATCCAAGTAGATCATAATATAACAAAGACCGAAATTCAAATACCTAAGGTGTTTCGTTTTATGCAGTCACATTTACCATTCCATCGAGGTTTAGGATTAGGCTTTGAATTCGAAAATTTATTTGATCAACACCTTTTTGTTTTCGGAGACATCTCACATCATTCTACTGCAAGTATCGGGATTTCTCTACCTGATATAAAAAGTTTAGCTAAGGATAAAGAGGAATAAATAGGGTGAAATCTGACTGTATTGACAACAAGCTCCTCTAAACGATTCACTCGGATGGTCTTCATAAACCATCTAGTTGATGAAAAACGAGATAGAAGAGAGGCGTGCATATAATTTACGATGAGTTATAATATAAAATCAAGCATGCGATATAGAATATTACTAAGGTCATAGAAAATGTGAAACCGAAAAGAAGTGATTCATGTTTATAGAAAGTAAAGCCTGTAGTTAGAAGTCGATTGAGAGATAAAAGAACTTAAGAACACAGCAAATAGCCCTAATTTAGGTGAACGCCTTACGTCCAGCCATTTCAATCTATCAAAGCATATGACATCGATGATATTTCTGAGAGATGGACGAACAGTATAATTCATCGCATTCTTTTTTCGCTCAGTCATGGAGGGTTGTATAGAAAATTCAGCTTATTATTCGCAAGATTTCACTAGTAGTATCAAGCTACGCGCGCTAATTAAAAGGACAGTGATTTTTTAAGTGTTGTGATTATCCTTGCTTTTGTGTAATTATTGCATCAAAAGGATTCTTGGTCTAAATCAAAGTACTTTAGTTAAGGTTCGAAATCTTGCTAAAGTTTGTCTCGTGGCACTCTTTACTCGTTGACTGACACTGTGTTCATTCTGTGATCATACTGTACTTTACACCTTAATCTGACTAGAATGGTTGGTAGTACTCACAAATGTGGACAACCAAACTGTTTGTTCCCTGTGAAGGAATGCAGTGTGATGAAAGTGGTTCCATAAGATATGCACCTCTTTAAGTCCCACCGCATAGAAAAGATGACTGAAGCCTAACTCACACTGGCTTTGCATGTTTTGCTGTGCAAATAAGACGCTACTAATACAGAAGTTTATGAGCCTATTGGCCCTGGCCTGTAAAAGGAACGACTGCGCATACACTGATAACACGAGCACTGACAGTGACGAATGTGTCAGTGTAGTACGTGCTGTTACGAGACGCCTTAAACTACTGACTTTGACTGACAAAAAAAATGAAATCTCCGTTAACAATAACGACAGGGGTTGTACCACCTGATACTGAGATTGATAACCATGCACCCCTAATGGAAACTGAATATCTGGATAAAACCGTCACAGTGTCCTGAGGGATGGAAAATGGACTTCAGTACGGAGAAAAAGAAATCAATAAAAGGCTGTAGGCAGTACGCAGTTGGTTAGCAAGTCACTGGTGGACTCTCATTGTGAGTCAAAAAATGCACTACCAAAATCTGATAGTAAGAGAGAAACCCACCCTGGCGTGACTGAGAAGAAGAATACAATATGATCGAATATTATTGTGAGCAAATTGCTGGAGTCAAACGACCCTATCCCAAAATTAGACACGCATGATTTAGAGAAGCTGGGAGACTATATTCATAGTATCTTGCCAGATAACTCCAAAGGAGTTCAGGTCAAAAATCTGGTTAGAATAGGCAAGAGGACTGAGGACAATGTTGAACCCCGACCATGCAGATTTCTTAAGGCAATCCTAGGATCGGAGAAGCAACGGGATTTCCTGGTAAGTAGCGCTCGCTTTCACGACAATTCCGACATCCGAGTTGGACCTGATATGTCTCTCGAAGAAAGAATAAAAAGGAAGAGAGCAATAACCAAACTAGAAACTCGTTGGCAAAACGGTGAGGAAAATCTCCGGCTAGTAGGTTTTCGGATAGTCAGGACTTGGAAGCGAATGCTACCAAGGCCTGTGTGGATAGGACGTTTTACTTTGGAGTATTATATGCCAACGCTCGTAGTCTAAGAAATAAGGTCCATGAACTAGAAGCATTAGTGGACAGATTAAAGTCACTCATTGTAGCAGTGACAGAAACTTGGTTAGTCCATTGGTCCTGATGATATTCATTTTAGGATTATGAAAGCCAAATCAGATGTAATTGCTGAACCATTAGCGATACTGCTTGACATGTCTCTAAGGCAGTCCAGAAGGCCCAGAGACGGGAAAGACTCTATAATAAGTCCTGTGTATAAGGCAGGGAGTAGGGACTTAGTTAGTAATTATAGACCCGTTAGCTTAACTAGTGCAGTTGTAAAACTGATGTAAAAAATCATCCGGCTATCTGTTATAAACCATGTTGAAGGGCATAATCTTTTCTCCAGGGAACAACATGGTTTTCGGAGAGGCCTATCATGCCTGACAAATCTTTTAATTGCAAGAGAAGATTGGACTGCTGCAAAAGATCGGAATATTCCTGTGGATGTGATATTCATAGATCTAAGTAAGGCCTTCGATAAAGTCTCTCACTCTGGTCTTAAATTCAAACTAGAACGTTTTGGAATCCATTATACAATCGTAGATCAGATAAGTAACTTTCTCCATGACAGGAGACAAAGGGTAAGGGTTAATGGGGCTCTCTTCTTGTGGACACCTGTAGAAAGTGGAGTTCCCGAAGGTATAATCCTCGGTCCTCTCCTCTTTTTACTTTAAGCAAATGAATTACCAACTGTACCAAAATCATCCGTTCTACTCTTCGCTGATGACATAAACATTTGATGACCCATACACAGTATATTGGATAGGATAGTATTACAGAATGATCTTAGCTCATTGGTGGCATGGTTGAATAGGAGGTCACTAGAAGTAAATCCCAATAAGAGTGTAGTGATGCGAAAATAACTATGATGAATCGTATCACTAAACAATATGTGGATTCGTGCTACCCAAAGTAAGAAACTATAAAGATTCAAGAGTTATATTAAGCAGTGATCTCAAAACCACTAATCACTGTGAGGCTGCTGTTGCGAAAGGCTACAGCGTATTGTGGTCTATTCGTAGTTCTTTCCAGTATTTAGATGATAAAATGTTTAGATTATTATGTCCGATTTATGTGTGACCACATTTAGAATATGAGATTCAAGCAGCGAGTTCTTGTTTCAACTATGAAGCAGAGATGGTGGAAATAATTCAACGACGAGGTACTAAGATGGTACAAGGTTTGTTTGGCCTATATCATGAAGACAGATTGAGACACCTTAACTTATTTCCGTTATCTTACAGTAGAGTACGGGGTGATCTATTATTGGCTTATCGTATACTGAACGATGACCTTGGTATTGACATATCTTATCCTTTACTTCCGTCTAGGACTGATCATTTGAAAAGACACTCCAAGAAATTCCGGAAACCGAGATCAAATTATTTACGTTTGGAGTTTCGCTTCTCGTACCGAGTAGTGAACTACCGGAATTCTCTACCGAAGCACGTAATATCAGCACCCTCTGCTAATATACTCAAAAAGAGATCGGACTTCCACAGTACTGCAAACTGCAAGGAATAATATGGGTCGATAGACCTCCTATCCTTATTACTGAAGACTGAACGAATTTGTAGAGGTTATTCGAGTCTTGAAGTTAAGGAATTGAAGAATTATAACCACCTTTCAGTAAACCTCAAAATATCTTGACAAAGATAGACACTACAATTTCTAAAATAACGAGGAGCGAGACTTTCCTAAATGTTGCTCTTTGGACAACGCTTGTTTAAGTGCACCATCGCTAGGGGCAATTCGTTACTTGCCCTGCCGCTAAGACTTTGGATACGTGCCAGTAGCGGTAATTCTTGTTTTGGCAGTTTTGTAATTTAAATAAAATGTATTTTGTTGTTATGTTATAAGTGCTATATTAGGTAAAGTGATCACGTTAGTTGAATAAATTTTTCTTTCTCACAGATGAATGGGGAAATCGAACTGGTAAGAAGTTCTACCGTTCAAAAAACCTTTCTGAAGTCACCATCATGTAGACCAGCTCTCCAAAGTGCAGACCACCTCACTTCCTCAGACCTTTCCTTGTATAGTACGACCGTTTCTCGAATGTCAGAAGTCGTACGCTCTGAACTCGATCATCTTTCTGATATTGGAATCGGAGGTAACACTACACCTGAAACTTTTGAGAATGTTCGAAAAGATCGTGACTTATCCCGTAACCCCCCAAATAGCTCTGGCATAATTTCAACACCAGTGTCCTGTCAGGGGTGTCAAGTATCTACAACTTTAACCGAAGTTTGTGACTCACTGTCTCTTGGATCACAATTGACTAGTTCTTGTGTAACTAGCTCTGATGATCTGAACAGAAACCATTTTCTGTCTTTAATAAAATCAAACTCAGAACATTTGGATAAGATCTCATCGGCGTCAGATGTAGTTGATTTCGGGAAACTTGCGTATGGTCGCCTTGATGGACAGTTGTGCGAATCAGAATATCGAAATAAACTAAACAAAACACATAATTTGACTTCTCTTGTTGATCAGTTAACAGATCCTACTTGCTTGCGTGCTAATAATCTCAGTGCAGATTATCGTTTAATGAGAGCAGCATTAGAATCTGGTGTTACAACTGATACGCTGACAGGTATAAATCAAAAAAGCGACACGAAGTGTATTCAAGCTGAGTCAGACAGTTTAGACATTTCAACTGAATTCGGAGTACCAAGTAATGCATGGAACCACCGTAATTGTGTAGGGGTTACTTCTGCAGACCATAGCTTTTCATTTGCCGGGGACACAATTACATCTCTCATGTCTAATACAGAAATAGATCAAGATAGTGTTTTAAATGATGGTCATTGTAGTAACATTTTCCCCACTGTTCACAGCAACACTCCCACTACTGCGACTGTTGCAGCTAAGCGCCCGATCACTGGAGCTCATCAAACTGCACGTTACCCTGCAGTTAATAAAGGAGGTATGTGGTCGAGTAATTCTAATGGGCTGTCAAACTCTGCACTTGGATACATGGTTTCCAATGCATGGAGCAGCAACGGCACCGGTGTTTCAGCAAAGTTGGGTAGTAGTCTCGCCACTGATTCGAATCCTCCTACAGTTTGTGATTTTCTTGGAAATGAAGGTAATACGGTTTCGTGGTCTCAAAATTCGTCAGTTCATCAAACACTTCATAAACCAAGCGTTCAGAACATTCCAAATATGGCCGGACCTGTGGGTTTTGGTAGTGGAATGACTAACGGTTCCTCAAATCGAACAGCTGTGTCCGTGGGTCTTGTATCAGTATCTACAACCGGCGTCAGTATTACCAGTAACAATAAAGTAAACGAGGCAGGTCTTTCAAATATATATAGTATGTTTCCTAAGCGCCCCCAACACCGAATGATGGCACATTGGCAGCAACAGCAACAACATCATCAAAATTCACAGCAAGTACCATTAGGTAAAGGTCTTATGAACATTGTCACAAGTAGTATTCAACTAAATGGTAATCGTGGTAGCTTAACTGGAGTTAATTCCACTCTCTCAGCTCTACCGAATGGTTGTGAGGATTCCGGTGTAAATAATAGTGCTGGAAGCTTCAATAACCACTCTATCATCCAGTCGCTAAACAGTGTTGGGTCATCATCGTCCGCAAATAGTTCACTGGTTCTGTGTTCTTCTGGAGACTCCTTCACAAATACCTTGTCATTCAACAGCCCAACGTCAGAAAGTTCCTTAGATAGTTTCAAATACGGGTTAGATCAACAGCTTATGGAAGTTATCAAATCTTTTGAAATCAGTAGCATTGGAGGTTCTAATTTAGTTTCTTCGAATGCAAATAACACATCTATGGGAGGGATCGATGATTTAACATTGTCATCTAATTTTGGAGAGGTAGACCAACAAATACCTGGTTTAAATTCTGCAAGCCAAATGCCTGTCTTAGGCTCATCGTCGATACACAACTCAACACCTATGATAAATGGTTCAAATAACCAAAGTTCAGGTTTTAATAGTCTTTCTAGCTACAACGGGAGTTCAATGATGGGTTCAGCTGGAATGACAAGCCCATATTCTATGTTTGCAAATATTTTTACTCGTGAAGAAGGATTTTCACGCAAAGTATTCGTTGGAGGTCTCCCACCTGATATAGACGAAGGTATGTTAATATGTATGAGCTGTAATTTTTTGCTTTTCTTAGGTTATTGATGTAAATTACTTTATTATGTTCGCCACAGCTTAGTATGGCAACTCGAACTGATGTACGTACGTACGAAGTTCTACGTTGTTACTGACTGACAGCTTAGTCCAAATAATGGGAGACTGTTCAGTAGATTATTCATGTAAAAGTTAATATTCTTTATCATACATAGCTTGCTTTTTGATATGGCTTTGTATATATTAATTAAATGTATCCTTGCTGTTGCTCACTAGCTTAGGTACTCTAATTTCATCCAAATTCAAACAACCACTTGATGAGCGAAAAGATGTTTGGGGATTATCATTAACTCAAAAATCCTTGTCTATATTTCGGTAAATAAGCTTGTGTGGCTGGTGAGTGCTGTCATTATTATTTCTTGTAATCAGTCGAAGTACAAGCTTTTTTTCTTAGTTAACATGAAAACCTTATTAAGGAGGTAATGACGCACTACGACATGGATTTTTTGATTTCCTTCGATCCTTCTTAGTCTCAAACATCTTTATTGGTATCCTAGATACTAGTTTAATACCCAAAGCCTTAAATATTCAGCTTCGACTTGTTTATTATTTTAAGAGTAATTTCTAGACATTTGCTTCTTTCACTTCATGGATGATCTAATATCCATTGCCAGCTACTAGTTTAATATTTAGATTGTAGTCTCATGGTTTATATACTCAGACTTTATTCTGTAACCGGCCATTTTTCCCTGTATTTTAAGCATCAAGTTGTTTTCTCTTATTTTGCTACATAACTAGACTATCAAGAGTATAGTCGAAAGCAAATGGATAAAGATATCAATTGTAGTTACTCTCGATCACTAGTTTAAACATTGATTCCAGGAAGTATGTATAGTGAAAAGTTTTGAGGTGTTCGAAGAAAAGTGCAATTATTATTTTTAACATCAAGACACTACCAACCTGTTCATTGAATCCGGCAGTTATTGTTGCTTCGTCCACTCACTATATCCTTGAATTTATACAGAACCTCAGCTTTTTAGGATGGTGAAGTCTGTGAATTCTATCTATTTAACGCTTTATGTGAATTTATTTTATCAGTACCAAAAACACGAATCGTAGATGATTTTGTTCGATGTAACTCCTATGTATTATGACTGTTTTAGGAGATTGTTACTTTGTGATGGATTGATAATGCGAAAATTTATTGTGCATTGGGGTCCTGAAAAACAAAAATCCTAATTGAGTTACTTGATCGTCAATATTGTCGGTTGTAACTATTATGTATAATAGCACTTTCTGAAGAATTGTAAGGCTGGTTAAGTCAGTTTAAAGGGCTAAAATTCATCTTACAAGTTAACTGTTGGAAAATTCGGGTATTTCGATTACTTGATTAGAGGTTAAGGGGGACTTAGTATTTCAAAATTTATATAGTTTATAGGTTTAAGCGTTTTCTTGAACGAATATGTAATTGGTCACTGGTTGTAGTATAGCATCTCGATGGCGATGTCTGAACCGTTTGTCTAGGGACGCCTCATTGAATTTAATTACCAAACTCCTTCAGATCAGTTTTCAGTATCAGAGTGATTTCCTGTGAAAGCGTGCGTTTCACCACTACACATAGGCTCTATTCAGTGCTATACACTAAGCCCCAATTATAATTCGATATATATTTGGTGAACATGGCAAAGTTTAAGGAAAGGGTTTTAGGTTTCAAACAGTTGAATTCCTACTGAATTAATCGACGTATGTTCTGTTTGCTAACTGAATGAGGAAGAAAACGATTAATGACTGGATATAGTAATAGTACTAGTCGGGGAAATGTTTGTGTGCAATGAAACATCTTTAAACTTATTTATCCTTAAGAACATTAGTATAAATATTAAGTCATAAACCGTTGAATCAATCCTTTGAATACATCAAGAAATTCGCTGTTTATGTACACTTACAAAGCACTTTACTGATATTAAGAACCTTTGGAGTCATTATTATGTTACTTGATCACACAGCTGCGCTGAACTTCGATCAAGTCAAAAATACCTTTTGTTTGGTCTGATGTGTAGAGTTCTAGAATGCTCAAATATGGGCCCTAAAGAAAACAGCATTTTTAAAAAGTGTCAGTACTTCAAATCTTTCGCTCAACTTAGCGCGAGTAATATAGTTCAAGCACTAAGATTGCGGAGGCTTGGAAATTACTTTAGCTGAACGACGAAGCAGGTACATGTCTATGTAATTGATACCAAGCATTATCTCCAAGGTGAAGAACTAAAGTAAGATAAAAACTTACCAGTCGAGTCAACGTACAATAGTTAATTGATTTTAAAGTATCTACTATTTTAATTGTCTTGGCCGTTTAAACTACGTAGTTGTATTATAAATTGGATTAATCACATTAATTTTGACACAGTTTCCAAACATATTCAAAAAGGTAAGATTATCTAGTGATCAGTTATTTATAAAGTCAGGAATTGACATCCACAAAAGATCGCGAAGTGGATTACTTTTAGTGTTTGTGTATTGCTGTAAGTTGATTTCCAATAATAAATAACTTCTAACAGTAATATCGGTAATTTCCTCTTAGTTATACGGAACCGTTTTTACCCTGGCTGTCATCCTACATCGCTATTAACTCATTAATAAAAACATTTTTTGATTCTATTTTAGAGGAAATAACTACTGCTTTTCGTCGGTTTGGCCCTTTAATAGTTGACTGGCCCCATAAAACTGAAAGTAAGGCATACTTTCCACCAAAAGGTAAGGTGTATCTCATCCTTTTTCCTCTCCTTTAAAAAACTTCATTTAAAGTTTGAGAACAGTAGTTCCCAGGAATTCAGTTATTATTTAATGAAAGACTAATAACTATCATGAATAACTCTTCAAGCTTTTGGGTCGTTGTAATCTTGGTCTCAGAAAAAATATCTTAGTCTTTAGTAAGATTTAAATCAATTCTAATTAGCTAAGAAATTGGTAGACGCATTGTTTATCGCACGTAAAATCAATATTTGAAGAGAAAATAAAGGGGATATTTTACGTAATTCCTTGAAGCTATATATTCAGTATTTCCAAATAAGTCACAATCAATATAATTGGGATTCAGTAAAGTTTTGTTTCACTTTGATGACATGTTACGGTTTGATACTCTTAGTCCTTATGAACATAAATTATCACATCCCTGAAGTCAGTGATTAGAATCTACATCATTCATTGTCGTAGAGTGAACTAACTAGTTTACACTAATTATTGATTTTTCTCTAGATAAAACTAGCTCTCATTGGTTAGAAAATTAACTCAATCATTTTAGGTTCGTGAAATAAAAATCCCGCTTCATATTCGTTGATTTTCATAGTTCTGTACACTAACCTGTACTACTTGCTGAATTTCGATCCGTAGACCTATACCACAAAAGAACAATTCATTAATATTAGTATATCAGTACTACCTTCACAGATTACCTATTTATTCTAAATTTCTGTTTGTTTAGGCTATTGTTTTCTGCTATTCCAAGATGAACGATCTGTTCAAAGTCTTATTAATGCTTGTATTGTTGATGAAGGAAAATACTATTGGTGCGTATCATCACCTACGATGAAAGATAAACCCGTAAGTTCTCATAGAGATACATACCTGAACTTCGTTCGTTATTATGTTTATTTTCGTGCGTTATATAAAACGATTTGTAACTTTAACTAAACGCCAAGGTATTTTGTGTATTTGATGTATTGTACAGTTGTGTTGATTGTAAAAATTGGTTTGTGGCTTTTCTTGACTGAAATATTAACTTTATGGTGATATATATATATATATATATATATATATATATATATATATATATATATATATATATATATATATATATATATATATATATATATATATATATATATATATATATATCCCAACCCTCTCAATCAATAAAGGCGTATAGCCACATAAATCAACTTCTTTGTACCTAATACCCTATGAATAACCTTAATTGCTTAGTGTAAAATTACAATGTCTTCATAAAATATGAATACTATACATTAAGTACTTTATTTTCACATCTTGCATCAGTTGTCTCTTACAAACTGTATCGTTCGTTCATTCCTGTTGTTATTGTATTTACTCTCTGTCTACGTTCCTGTCCTCTTCAATTCTATCTTCTCAACCTTCTGCCGGGCGTTTCACTTCTGATCGGTGTTACATACTACTTACGCTTATCAACATAAGTAGAATACACCACATCCAGGTCAAAAAATAGTGTCTCTAGTATGGTTTACTTCATGTTGTTTTATCTAAAATTATATATGACAAGAGATGTCTCGTCAAATTACATATTTTATTGTTGCATACATTCTTTTCACAGCAAAATATTCTGTTGGTTTAAAACCTCAGACGTAAGCTGGATTTTGAAATTCCAAGGAATTTTGAAATAACCTTTATCGTGTCGTGCTGTCAAAAAAATCAAACATTGAGAATCAACTTCCTAGACATATTTTTTTCACCTTGTTGTCAAAATCATTAGTATGATTCATTTACTTCTCTGAACTACTTAATCAAAGTCTTAAGTTCCTTGATGTACTATTTTATGGTTAAGCTATTCCATTTGGTTCCAGCAACTAATATTTCCAATTGTTAAGGGAAGGTGTGGTTGTGAAATTTTCACAAGGAATCCAAAATCTAACAATTAATCAGTCTAATCAATAAGGTTATTGATTTTAATCTACTTTTCGTATCGAATAGATCTAAACAAATTCATCGTTTCCTTCTAATTTGCATCAAGTTAAATATGTCTATGTGTTGTTTCTGAACAGAAAGATTGTATTGTGCTTAGTTGTTTAGAGACAGATTGGTTATACGTTTCCAGAACAAACAAGTTAGTTGCAACGCAAAACCTGCTACGTATGTACGTTAGTTCAAGTTGTCCTACCCCATTAGCACAGAAAGATGAAATTTCTGGCCAAATCCTAAAATAGTAGAGGTAGTAACATTATCAGTTGTAACTGAAGAGAATAGAGATCGAAGATACTATTCAAGAAGAAGATACAAATAGTGAAATAAAGTTATGAGAGATGCAGAAGCTCAAAATCTGGAGGAAGACAAAATGGATGCATCTGCGCCATTGCAAATGATTTTGAGCTATTTCATTTAAAGTCTCTAATCACTAGTTACAATAATCACGCGGACCTTAGAAAAAAGTGCCTGTTTAAAGTTGTCTATTAAGTAGTCTCCACCAGTTCACTTAAGCAAACAAATTTTTCTGTTTCATGAAACATCACATTTTTGCATCAATCTTGTTCTCTGCTGTTATGTCCAATTTTCCAAACTAGTGATTCTAATGGTAACTCAACTCTTGTTAGCGTTTTCGGTAATTCGTTATCAGTATTACCAGGTTTCGTTTATTTTCCAAAATGGAGTTATCAAAGGTACCTTATTAATCATGCTATTGAACTGGTTGATCTGAAACACTCAAATTTTTGTTTTCGGTTATTTCAATTACACTTGTACTCGCTATTTCAGCGTTTGTGTTTTATTCTCTTAATGATTAAACTTTCCAGTCGACATTGCTAGTTACTAGTATTTCATGCTGTCAAACAATTAACCTCCCTATTTTAAACAAGGTTCAATCAATGTGGGATCTTTAATTCGGCCCTAACTTTTTGTTAGTTTTGACTTCAATATGTATGATTATTTCTCTGCTCATTGTTTTCTACAACGTTGTTATTCGCTTTATGAGACTGCATGTTTTATAATATCAAGTAAACAAGAGTAGAGTTACATTTTAATTGTTCGCATTGTTTGCTGTTTTATTTGTAAGCTCTTTTTTGAAAAATCTTAGGTTCAAATTCGACCATGGAACTTAGCGGACTCCGATTTTGTCATGGATGGTTCACAACCATTAGATCCTCGTAAAACAATTTTTGTTGGAGGTGTTCCACGTCCACTTAGAGCTAGTAAGTTAACCAATGAGTTGATAATATAATCTTATCAAAATGTGATAGATATTTCCTACTAGTTACCATTATTATAATATGAAAAATATGGTTTGTAGCTTGTTCCAACTGTGTGTCAACCGGATATTCATTTTATCTATGATCTTTCCACATGTATACTTCATAAAAATCACATTTTATCCATTTGAGTTTTAAAAAGCTATCTTCAACGAGTAATTCTTATATATGTAATGTTCACTAAATAACTACCATTAATTGAAGAGAACTACGAAACCAAGGACAATTATTGTTTATTTCTATTGATTCTCTAGCTGCTATCAATCTTCAGATTGCACAAATCTCTACACATTATCAACTATGAAAATAATTTCATTGGTTGTTTCGTTCCCTATTCTTTTTCGAAGTGACTCGTAGTAGACAGTATTGAATTAACAAAAATTCATTAAGTTTGTCTATTCACCAATCAGTCTATCTTTTTTGTGCATATACACAATATCAAACTAACATTTTCATATTCGTATCAAATATTCACATAAGTTATTCAAATTACATATATTGCAATGAATCATAGTTGTATAAAAGTCTAAACGCATTTTGGATTTTTAGATAAAACCGACAGAAGAATCTATATGTAGGCCAACCATGTTCTAATTATTCTCCTCCTACAAGTCCACAAAGAGCCTTGCCCAAGTGTGCAATTTTTTACTCGAAAACTGAGTCACATTTTAATTTATATAATTTCCTAGACTTTGTAACCGCATACACAGTCCCATGCCTTACACATTTTACTATGACAATTATCTATTAGGTGAGTTGATGAAGAGTTGACTGTCTATACTGATCTAAAAGTGTACAAATTCAGATTTTTAACAGGAATCATGTGAACTTATAGACAGAAAGTAAACTAAAAACAAAAACCATGTACAGAAACAAATCCATTGTAAACTTGTTCTTGTTATGCAAAAAAATATTTTTCGTTCAGAAAACATTCATTACTTATTTGACGAGTAGGTTAATATGAATGATACTAATATCGATGTTCATAAGGAGTAGCGTAATGAATACATGGGATATCAATTCTACTGGTTATCCAATGAACATAATAATTGATAATTAATGGTCCGTCCAGTAAGTCTGCTAATTGAGGTACTTGGTAAACAAAAATCAAGAAATTCATTTTATGTTTAAAGTTGTATAGGAAAGTAACGTATTAAAAGAAACATCAGTTTTCAAGTGAATCAAGCATTTCAATGAGGATGAAAGGGATGTTGTAAGTCATAGACGACCGTTGACTTTGTGTTGGTGAAATCGTCGAATGTATACGATCTCTGATATTTTCTGATCACCAGCTTACTATCCAAATGATTCCTTATGAGAAGTGCATATGATTGAAACAAAAATATTGAAAAATTAAAACGCGAAACTATGTGCAACTGAAAAGATTGACTTCCAAAGTCTCAGTAATGGAGACCGAGGTAGCACAAAAGTATTACCTGAAGTAAATAGCATTTCACGAAACGGATAAGATTAATACACTCTAAATCTATAGTAACTACTTGTAGTCTACTTATTTTTTGATCCAGTTTTTGCATTTCTATAGCAAAGTGCATTTAAATAGGTCTGTCACTGTTGACAATATTATAATTATTATACAACCAAAAACACTAATCTTTTCCTTAAAATGATTTATTAAATTAACTAATAAAGTCTTCTAAATTTCATACATTAATATATTTCCTAAATGGAAACCGAAATAAATGTTTTAAAATTTTAAGAAACTGATAAATATAAAATATTTTAGTTATATTTGACCTATATTTATTAAAATTAAGGTGAAAGAAAAAACGAAAACTCCTTTTCTTGTTTGTTTATAAAAAGGATATTTTCATATATCGATTTACCATTCATCCAACTGCATCCAGTCACTTGAAAACTTCATTGTTATTAATAATTTTGCATATATATATATTCGTTTCCGTCCCAGCCTACATGATTCTCTGCCTATTGGATGGATTTTTTTCTCCTCACTTGTCTCTGTGAACAGTTTCAAATCTCCTCCTATTTTTGGCATGACCTGAAAATGACCTTACTTGTAGACAGAAGTTTACTTTTCTTCCTTTCTCTTTTTGACCTTAAAACGTTTTTTCGTTATTTTTCAAACAAGAAGCTTAGTCATTATCTTTTATGCAGTATTTAATTCATTATTATTTTTTTATTCAATTGACTATATGGAAGTAATCTGAACAAAGAGAAAATATACGTTATTTCTAATTCCCTAAGGATACATCCTATATATATATAACCAAGTTGTAATGTTGCTGAAATCTTTTACACTATATGTTTCTAATCTATCAATTGTTAATCAAATCACGATTGGGTTACTACATATTAGCTGTGTTAATCTTCAACTCCGAAATAAAATACCAGTACGTTGATTATAGATAAAACCAGGCAACTACTCTTTGTACATGAAAACTTGTTTTTGGTTAAGCCTGGAAAATAATTACGAAAGAACAAATAAAAAAGCGAGGAATACTGGTTTCATCGTGAAAAAAAGGGAGAAATTTCGGAGATAATTGTTCACTACAATAAATATTATGTAGAAATATATTCCAACAACCATGTCTCGTTTAATATAGTTAAGACAGTTATTTCAATATGCAATTTAGTGGTTGAAAATTGGTTGCTTTTAATCACTATCCATCAAAACAATGCGTTTAAACATTTCGGTTTTCGGTCTTCTTTAGCTTCCTACAAAAAACAAGCAATTAAATTTTATTGCTTTTTTGCTAACTCTCATTTATACTCGCATAGTGCTGTTTAGTGAAGCAAGCATAAATTCAATCCACAATATTTTTTTACTGTTTTCAGTAGTTTAAAGTTTTACAGTGTTCAATATTTACGATAACTAATTAGCTTCAAATAATTTCAATTTTTGTATGTGACAATGTTATTACGTTCATTCATTTATTTTTGTATATCCTAGTAATTAAAAATTGACTCTCAGTTTTAAAGTCAGTTAAATAATCACTTGATTTGTTTCATTTTAAAGTGTCTAGCTCTTCGATAAGCATCTGTCTTGAATTAAAGTTATAGAGTATTTATAATCTAAATGTCAAATACTAAGATAATCAAGCCTTAACATTTATCTTAGCTTGTACATCATAATTTTTGAACGATCCTACAATATGTATCTCTCTTTTTGTAAAATATAGCGTAAATGGCAAGTTTCCGAAAGTAAAGTTTGTAGTGTAGATTTAAACAAATGAAGTGAAGGCTTATGTATTGACATCATCCTAGAAAAAAACATCATAATCAATATCTTCATTTTCTTTTTGTGGTTATCTATCAGTTTCGTTTTGGGAACAAGAGTATAGTTCAGTGAAGATATATATGCTCGGCAGTTTCCTTCTCAAAATTGTGCATATATATATATATATATATATTCTTTTCGACAACGATTAATGGAAGTAAAATAAACATTAAGATTATTATCCATATTAAGAGATTGAATCAAAAGCGAGTTAAGAATGTCATAAAATTTAGAGAAAGAATTGTGGTTGCTTAATATAGTAAGATAAATTTTGAAAAGGAATCTTATTCTAAAACAACATCAAAACAACAGTAAGTCTGTATGAGTTAGGGGTCTTACCGTGCTGTTAGACTTTTTTGCAAAATAAAAAAAAAACTAGAAGTCAGCAAAACGGAATAGGGATTCAATTAGTTAAAATTTTCAGGTTCACAGAAAGTAAATAGGTTAGATAAGTTTTTTTTGTACATATGATACTGGTTTTGCTATGTATAGAGACGAATTTAGTAATACATTGAAGAAGCAAAGATACTGCTTTTTGTATGTTTCTGGTTTTCCGGTAGATAACTTGGATTGGCGAGTCTGCCTTGATCATATGGTCGCTTGTAAGGTATCCTACAATCGTTCTTCTGATACAAACATTGTTACCCCGCTTGCCAACAGAATTAGTGTTCCTGAACTTTCTTGGTTAAATCGCTCAATCAACGACCTTTGCACCTTAATCGACAGGAACATAAGCAGTGATAGATGGACGTTGAAGAGATTAAATTCTATTAATTTTCCTTTGAGTTGTCAATAGATTAACTAGAGATCATTATTCTCATGGTTGCTGCAAAGTGTGTTCTTTCGATGATGTTTCATATTTTTCCTTTTAAAATATCGGAATGTGCGTCACGTTTAAAGTGAATCATGTACAATGGCCTAGGTGCAAAGACTTCAGATTCTTTGAGAAGTCTTGACTCTAAATTTTTATTGATAAATCGTGCTGTCAATATAATATTTAAGTCTCCATTTATGAAGTTGGGAGTTTAGATTCGTCGTACTAGTAAGGTGGGAAGTGCGATGTATGTCCGAATGAAAGTAGCCTGTTCGTTTAAACCCATTTTTGTTCCATGACGATTATTTTTCGTTTATTCAGAGCTTTTGCTTTCACTTTTAAATAGTCGAACTTGCCCTAATAATGGATCGCTTATATGGAGGTGTTTGTTATGCTGGCATAGATACAGATCCAGAATTGAAATATCCTAAAGGTGCTGGTCGTGTCGCTTTCTCAAATCAGCAAAGTTACATCGCTGCAATTAGTGCACGATTTGTGCAATTACAGCATAATGAAATTGATAAACGAGTAAGTTTTTATATATATATATAATTTAAACCTTTGCCTACAATTTTATTCATGATTGTTAATAGTACTGTATCTCTTTCCAGAAGATCTATTTTGATTACGGGCCATTTAAGATAGTGTTCATGTTGAATTAACTTTGTGTAAGGGCTTTTTTCAATGCAAACCTTTTGATCTACTGATAGCATACTCGTTTGTCAGCTTGAATTGCAGAAGAGTTTGACTGTTATTATCATTAAAACTAAGTAGTGCCCACACATACAGCAGAAGTATCTCAAAATCGACTATTGACTAGTTGTTAATTACTAGAATTCTACGTACCCCATCCAATCATTTATCATCATAGTAGTAATAGTTAATAATGAAAAGAAGAAATGGCAGAGTTTTAACTGTGTATTAATTTAAATTTTTCATCTCGTTCTAGTTATTGGCTAATCATCTCTGCTTGTTTTTTTACCATTTGGAGACTATTGTAAATAGTTTAATTATCATAGTTGTTTCTGTTTATTTCAACAATGTAATAAGAATAATCACGAAAATAACAATTATTGATTGGCAATGATTCATTCTCTAACGATAATTTTATAAATAGTTAACTCTACGTTAGTTTTCATTTATCATTCCCTTTTTCGTTTTCGTATCTAACACCGTAAACTAGCAGTTTCCCCTTCCCTCCTAGTGTGGTCAGACTGTTTCTATTGATTGGAATTTTCCTACTGACTAGTTCTATTCCTCCGTTTCTTGGTTATCCAATCCTATTGATTTATTTTCATTGAATATAAGCAGCATTTATAAATAGATGTATGGTTGGCAAATTTATTTGAATGGAGAATGCGTGGGTGTTCGTCTGGAATCTAGACGTAGCCCTACTTTCTATTAAGTTCTTTCTTCTGTTGTTTTTCTATGTGAATACTTTTTTCAGGTGTTTTTCTTTTTCGTAAGAAAATTAGGATAGATTAAAATAATCCAGCTAAGTGGGAAAAAAGTTATGTTGTTTATAAATGAGAGTTATTTTCAAACATATGTGTGATGCTCTTTTTTGATAACAAAGTGACAAATTATAACTTTTTCACTCATTTCATGCATTGATCATATAGTTAGCTAATCGATGACTGTTGCCCGACGTTAGATAACTAAAGATTGAAGCTGTACATCTTATTCTTTCTTTTGCGTTTATTCACGTTTATCATGGTTAGTTTTTAAAAATATTGTTGTACTAAATGGCTGTTCACTTTGATCATCTTTATTACTTCTGTTGATTATATTTGGTGCCTTTTCAAAACAGATTGTTTCACATCGATTAGAGTTATTTCTTTAGACAGCCACTGTGAATAGCGTTATCTGATTTGTATTTATAACGGTTAGGTACTATTTTAAATTTAAAGAATCAATAAAATTATTTGACCATAAGTGTGGTGTATGATGGAAATCTCGATTGAACAATTTTAAAGCTACTTGTAGAGTTGTGAACAGCAGGATCATTTAGTAGATGAAGTTATGAACCAACACTGCTAGAGGTGCTTGGGTGTCGTTCTACATGTAGTAAATCACCATCCATGCTAGGTTCTGAAATTCGTAGGTTATTTTTGTTCAGGCGCGTGAAACTCCCCTCTTCAACGTATATGCTTTTTCTTACTGTATTATATTTTTATTTTAGGTTGAAGTTAAACCATATGTCTTGGATAATCAAATGTGTGATGAATGTCAAGGTACTCGTTGTGGGGGTAAATTTGCCCCATTTTTTTGCGCTAATGTTACTTGCCTTCAATATTATTGTGAACAGTGTTGGGTACAGATACACAGTCGTTATGGTCGTGAATATCATAAACCTCTAGTCAAAGAAGGAGCTGAACGTCCTCGTCCTGCACTTTATCGATGGTAGACGCATACAAGTGTGTTATTATTTGCTAGCTTGTTCTATCTTTCAGCATGCTTGTTTCATACAAATTGGAAATGTTTCTTCTGATCTCGACCTCTTACTTTCATTGTCTTCAACCTGTCGTATTCTCTCGTTCTTGTTTCAATCATTTGGTGCTTTCCTTTGTTTTTTTAAAGTTTTTCTCTTAGATATTTTGCCGGTTTAAATCCTTTTTATGTCAGCTATCCAACACCTATAATTATAATCAATCAATCAATTCCACCGACAAAAGTGGATTCATTTGATTAAAAAGTGATCACTGAGTCAAAACATTTTTGCGCAAGGCCTGTCTAAGTTGATTTTTTCGAAAATCTTTCCCATTGAAATATCAGTCTGCTTTTTTGTTGCCATTTCCTAGTCTGTGATTTCTCATTTACTGAATGCTGATGATTTGTTCCTCAGTTAATTATATATATAAAAGCACTCATATAATATATCTTATAAACGACCTAAGTAAATGCAGAAGACACACAAATTGCATACTTTGGTACTATTATTTCTTGTTACTATTATTCTCATCACTAACTACTCATCCTTTTCATCAACTAGTTAGCTTGAACAGTTTTTCCTCTTCTTACTATTGTATTTTTATCCCGTTGTTTACTTACTTGTTGGATTCCTAAGAAGAAGATGAAATTGTTTTTTTTTAAAACTGTGATTCATTCTTAGTTTAGTTTCCTCTTCTGAATTCTTATCTCTTTATCTGTGGATAATTTTCTCTCATGTTAGTTCATTTCGTGTTTAACTGAATTGTGATCTTGTTTTTCTTTTTTAAGTTTTATTTGGTATTTTTAAATTCTATTCACTTCTACTTGTCTGTTTTGTTAACTTTATTGTGTTACTCTTAGTAATTATAATAATAATGATGTAATATCTTTTTGTTTTGTTCATTTCTTTCATTAATCTACCTATCTAATTTTGTTCTCATGTTCTATTTTTGATCATTTGATGATTGTTTCTGTTGGTTATCCTTTTAGTTTGATTTGACTTTTTTTATTATCTAGTTGATCAACGCATGTGGGGTACCTCGATCTCTCTTTATGCATTATATGTCATTATTATTTTTACTATTACTATCCAATAAATGAGTTGGCATTGATGATAGTTAATTAGACCACCTTCAGTATATATATACTAATATTTTTGTTTATAAAAAATGTTATGTTATGTTTTACACATTTTAGCTTACTAATTATTAGAGGTGAATTTTCTTTTAGTCATTGAATAAACACCCATTTATGATGTATACTTATTTTTAGTTTTTAATTTCATTCTTTTCTATAAACATATTTATATAAATATTATTATTTACATACATACATATTTACTATACATATTATTTTAATTGTACTTGTTTTCGTTCTCTCATAAAGCAACATTTAAACAAAAATGATTAGCTAATGCAAGTGCACTAGCACATTGCTTTACATACCAAAGATAGATATAACATCTACTTTTATGCATCAATTCGGTAGTATGTGTCTTGTATATCTATCCTGAGTGATAGGATGCAAGCGATTGAAAGTAACATGGTTTATTCACTTTTAAAAGTTTTTTGTTAACTGATTTTTACTATTATTACTCAATTTCTTCTGTTGACAATGTCTTATATATATAAACTGAAGAAAACATTTCCTAGTTTCTGTTATGGATCTGACGTTCCCTCTAATGGTGTAGCCTCTATCATATACTCCCCGCCAACTACCATGTTTCCTTGTTATCTTTCTACTTGGTAATTGTCACTACCTTTTTCTTTCCTTTGTTTTGTTGCTTAAACAGTGGGTGGAAATGTTTCGAGCCCTAGGGCGGGGAGGATGTGTATATGTGGGGTACTTTTTATTTTTGTAATGTTATTTTGTTGTTTGGTATTTTCCTTTGTTTATTTATTTTTCAATGCAACACTTTTTACAAAAACCCAACAAAAATTAGACAAAAAAATCATATATTTTCTTACATTCTTTCATGTTGTTATTTAATATATTGTAGTTATGGTAGTACGTTCACGCAATATTGTTTTTATGTTTTTGTTCTCCACCTTATACGTTATGCAACAAACAAGCAAGTAAACCCTTTTTTATGGATTTTAACAATTCAACATTGCTTCTTATAATGTCATTTCATGCGGAATCAGTATGTGTATATTTTTAATTCTCAATCTGGTGAGTACATCTCTACGTATACGTTAAATGTATACGTTCGAACGTGATTCACAATGCATTTCCACTATTTATATCATTGAGTAACACAGAGTGATGAAACGTGCGAAACATAAATATTTTATGTATGTTACACCGACAACTTTCATTCATCTCTTTTGTGTCGTGTACTTATGTCTATACTATCTGTATGAATTAGTATATCTCTTTGTTTTAAGTCGCAGATTTTCATACTTCTCTCCTTGTTTTCAAGTCGTGGTTTATTTTGTAAACGTGCATGTTTGTAATTTTTTTAATTATTGCGCTGGCTCGTGATGCATTCATGCTTCAGATAATTTTCATTACTATCTACTTGATCCATTAATTCGTTTACTTAATAATAATAGTATTCTGTGATGGTTCGCTTTCCACGCACAAGCCATATTCAGGGCGCTTCCAGATTGTGATGTTTTGTTAAAGTGAAGTGTGGCAAATAAGTGGAGAGTTAGTATGTATGTGTTTTAAGACATTTTTCATTCATACTTTTTTTGCTTATCAATTTCATCTGCTCAATCAAATAGTTTGCTCGTAAAAGTTTGTTGTAAATGATGCTTTAAAGGCATTCTGTAACTCGCGTTTCTACTGATCTCGGCTCTTGTGCGTACTTATGTTCTGTTTTTAAAAAAAAAAATAATTTTACTATTGGTTACCTTTTTAAAATAAAGTCTAATTATTTGACTTGCGTTTTTTTCTTTCTATTCTGTAGTTTTCTTAATTTTCAATGATTTCGTTTGTTAGATGACATTTTGGTTATAAATCTTAGTCATTGGTTTTATGGTGCTTCCTCTATCACCTCAAAGTAAATTTTCTTATCGAAATTTCATGGTATCTACTATCTCACATAAAAGTACTTACTATTGATTACTGCGAGAAAAAAACACATTTCTCTTGTTTACATTTTTTATTTCAGTTCGTTTTCCCAGTTAGATTAAAATGTACTGTGTTCTTCTACTTTTCTTTATATCAATAATATTTATGTATGATGCTTAAAACAATCCTACTCATTTGTACTGAATTCGATATTACAGCTGACATCAGATTGAGTTTTTTTTTTATATATCTCTGGAAACAAAATAAAAATGCTTTTATAGGACAGAAAATTCTTTCAGTTCTGGTTATTATACATATTGTTACTCATTTTCTGATATGTTGTTTACAAATTCGAACAGCAAGTGAAAAAAAAAATTGATTTTTCACATTAATATATTCAATAAAAAAAAGTTAACAAAAAAAATCATTGTTGCTGTTTGGCCATAAAATATATATCTGATAAAATAAATATTTTCATAGTGTTTTTATTTGTTGCATCTTTTTACTACCGTTATTTATCAAAATATTTTATTAGATTTCTCATTTGTTTATATATATATATATATATATATATATATATATATATATATATATATATGACTTATTATTTACCCCTTGTTTTATCTACATTCATACAAACAAAGTTTTATATATAAACAGAAAATAACTGTCTAAAAGTAATCCGGATTTTTATCGTTTTTTTTGCTTCGTTTTGTTACTTTAAAATAAAACAAGAAAGTATGTTAGATATTTCCATGGATCCGTATTTTTTGGGTGTCTCTCTCTCTCTCTTGTTGCTTTCGTTTAGGATGTTATTTATTTTGTGTTGTGGTTTCTTTCTTTTCACTTTTCTGTTCAAATGTTGATCTTTTGTTTAGTTCCACTGTTCAGTTTTGTTTTTCAGTGTGGAATGTGATTTCCTCTTTTGTTTATATACTCTTTTATTGTGATTTGATAATTATGAAACAATTTTCATCATTTCCATCTAACTATAGCTCATTTAATAATCAGATTGAGGTATATACCAACTTTTAAACAGCTTCTTGTGTTAGTGTTCAGTTACTAAATGCATATATGAATACCTATGCTTGGAGTACAGAAGACCTATTTAGTCAATGTTGTACCTTCTATATTTTAACCTTTGTTACTCCTATTTATCTTGAGATACTAATAAAGTGGTTTTCCATTTATTGATCTACCTTAATAATCTATCTATCAAATTTCTCACTTATGTGCAATAGCCAGTTTTTTTCGTTTGGTTATTTTTTTGTTTTGTTTGGTTTTTTATACCAATGAATTTAAGCCAATTTTTATTTTTAGCCGTCACTGCCTATTTATTCTTTATTAATTAATTAACACCGATTACGTGCGCGGTTTCTTTCGTTTTGGTCTTGTTTTTTTCTATGGATTTTTCATCTGTTTCAGTCACTCAGCTATTTTTATATCAGTTGATTTACTATATATACACATATAAGACAAAAAATACATATTTTTCTTTATTACCAATAGTATAAGTACTACTACTACTAATCTCGTTGTTATTATATTTACCATTCGTGAACATCGTCACAAATGTTCGTAGTCTGCATTCGGGCGTTCCTAGGTCATATTTGTAACTGTTGGCGTTCTTATTCTAATTTATTTATCTATTTGATTTCCTCTTCTAGTTTTGACTGACTGTCCTCGTTTCGGTTTTGTTTCTTTGTTGCTGTCGTTCCTGACATCTTCACTTATTGTTGTTGTTTCTTCAATCTTTCAATCACAGTTGCTCACCGTGTTTCAGATGCACATTTTGTTTACATTTTTATTTTAAACTTTTGTGCTATAAAAAAGTCTTGTTTTCATTCTCATTGAATCTTTAAATTGTTTGTCTGCTGGTATTTTGTTTTGACTTGATTACTGGTTCTGTTTGTCATCAATTGTTATGTTTAGTATTGTTATTAGCGTATTAAATTTTACACCCGGTTTACTGGGTTCTTCAGTTTAACAATTTTATCCCGAGATATAATTTGTGAGTTTAAAGTAAATATTGTTGAATACACTGTTATTTTTCGTATATTTCATCTATATTACCCATTTATACTATTATTATTATTTATATGGAATGTAACATTGATTAGTTTCTTACAGTCTCAAATTTCTAATGCTCATTCACACTTCATGTGTGTTTGTATGCATGGGTCTTCACATTTTTTTCAGTTATCTCTCTTTTCTTCAATATTATTATTATTATTATCGAAATTCTTGTTATTGTATTACTAATTAATTATATTGAAATAAAAATTTAACTATAAAAATACTTTGAATACTACTGATTTATTGTGTTATGTTGTTGTATTGGTGGAGTTCGATTTTCAGCTAACTAGTAATAAGGAAAGAATCAAGTTGCTTTTTATTAATCTTAAGTGATCATTTGAGATGTTATAGATATTAATAATAAAAATACTTTATTGTCTTTCAAACTGATATCAACTTATAATGTTTAATAGTTGTTTCGAGCATACATACATTGTTTCCCAGTGGTTTTTTGTCCGATGTGACATTGATTTGCTTCATAAAAATAATCATTGCGTCATTTACTTTAACGTTGACATAAGTCAACAACCGTTTCAGTGAGATCCTAACGTTATACATCGTATGATTTTGAATCACTGCAGCTCACCTCTTAATCACAATTGAATGTAAAATTCACATTTCTCTAAAATGCCTAAAAACTAGTGATTGATTTCGTGAATTATGGCAAAGTTATTACTTTTTCATTCCTATATCAATCTGAAGTTACCTTGCAAATAGATATGAAAACTTGAAACACTTCATTCTGTTTTTCAGCTGATCCATCCATACCCAAACCTTTAGATAATATTTTGAATGAGCTAGTTTACTTTGAAGTATATTATCATGTGGAATTACAAATAGTTTGTAAATAATTGTATAAACATGTGTATGCAAATGGCTGAGTGAATTGTTATTTCTAAAATAAATAGGTAACGAGTAGGACAACAATTCCAGCAAACAAATTTTAGTTATTCTGAATTCCAATCGAAGTAATCTTGGGCTTGAAGTTGAAATTAAGGTCTACTTTAAGAATGTCGACATTTCCATCCGTATGTATATCCAGAATATATGGTAATATTGAGTCAATAATTCAGAACTATTCGACAATGTAATTAACCAGTGCTACCAATTAAACCTTGGAGTTCGGTTCTCGATATTTGGGTCGGTTGTAAGTTATCACTCTTGAGTTGTTCTAAATTAAGACGGGACAAGTGTCTGCTGTTTCATGATATTTGGTGGTGCTTCAGTTGATATCAGTTTTTTGATGGAGACTAATCTCAGACTGAGTAATCACTTCGCAAACCTACTAAAGTAAGTAATAACGTAAATGGTGCTATCCGGGTTTTCATATTTGTAAACAGATAAAATGGAGTAGATTAATCAACAAGTTTTAAACGACTGAATTAATTAGTATTTCGATTGCTTTTCAATCATAAAATTCGTAATCGTAATATATTTTTCCACATACTTGAAGGGTGCACTGTTGAAAAGTGCAAAACAAAGTCCTTATTAAAAACAATCATCAGTTTATAAATATTAACAGCTAATTAATCGGTTGAATAAGGATACTTGAGCGCTTAAGTGTACATCATTCAGATATAAGTAGTAGATAACATCAATTGGAAGTGGAAAATCTGCTGGCCAAAGGCTATAAAGCTTGACTTGATAAGAACAGGAACGGAAGTGTGAATCGGAAGAATCATTCAGAATGTGAAATACAAGTGATAGGGAATTAGCAAATGAAGTATTTAATGTATGGTTCCTATATTTTATAAAGATACTGTGTAATTTTGTATTAACATACATTTGGTTATCAACTGTGAGTTCGTTCATCACATTACCTTCGTTACCTAGTAAACCGAATAAATGTTCTGAGTGAACTCGTAACTAATTAAGCGTTAAGATAAGTATTGTATTGGGAACGGAGAATATTGTCAATTAAAGAGGAATGATCATTTGTTTTGTCATCATTTGAAGAAACGCATTGGTGGACAACTACCACAAAATTAATGTGTCGCAAAGTTTACAAATGTGAATAGTTTAATCACTGAGTCGAAATTCTGTGGTCAGTGTTATCATTTCTTACCAACTTCGAACATGGAGATGAAATGAGATTTGTCGAGTGCTGTTACTTGACAGTGGCCACTTTACTGTCATGGCCTTGGAAAATATCTTTGGAATGTTAATTTGATATTTCTATAACAATCTGAAAGTCCTGGAGTTGATTCGTCTGTGCGCATTGTTGTAGAATACCAGATTAGATAATATTCCTGCATACTTGTCATAGTAGCACATTTGCATTCATTCTGTATCATTCATCAAGTTTTCAGCACTGTCTATTTTTCATTCTTTGTTGCACTTCTAATGCTACACTATTATCTTTCAGTTTTCAACCATGGTTAATGGCATTCATTTTTCTCTTATCGTTTTTTTTTAAAAATTTTATTGACATATGTAGCAATTTGAACTGATACACATCTGTATGTAAGTCTTCATATTGACTATATTCATTCGTCTGTCTGTCGTGTATGAACGTTTACGGAAAATGGGTCTTAGTACTGGCGGGCTGCTTGAATATCTGGGCAACCTGTTTCTACCATCTAGATATTTCAACAAATTATCTGTTTCCTTGTTTGTTTTAACAGATCATTATATCTATTAGTTATATAACCTATTCAGGTGCGTTTGTAAAAAGTTTTGCAACCTTTCACTGTAAAAGTTACAAAAACGTACAATCGGTGACATCGTGATGGCTGGCAATATGCATTGGAAAGAATGAATATTATTCAGATGTCGACTTTTGAAATGTTATTATCTAATTGGCGATCATTCAATATTTATCGTCAATATCAATCAAGAAATAAGAAACGGAAACTCGCTGAAATTCTTTGTGCTGAGAATTTTACAATGTACCAAAAATATAATATTGAATAAAGCACTGCTGAGGAGTCTCATACTAAGACGAAACGGCCGTCCAGTGCTTCCAGGTTTTGAATGGTGGTCTAGCTTCAACTGACTCATGATTTAAATCTGTGAATAAATAAATAATTTATTTATTTGTAGGTTATCTAAAATAATTTATAAGTATCCGAACATGTATATATGTGAATTCAATATTCATCTTTTTAATATGTATAAATCATAGCCAATAATGATAAATCATTGAAATTTTCATTACTCGTTTAGTTTTTTAATAAAATCACCATAATCAATCCATAACAATAAAAAAAATTTTCTATTTCAGTTTATTATCTGACTGCACTAAGGATCAAACATTTAACATGTAAAATGTACACACTGATCAAGAATCGTTTAATTAATTTTGCGAATTTTAGAGAATTATTGATTGAATTAGTATTTTATCTATTAAATGAAAGCTATATATTTATGTTGTATGTTGCATTTCTACAATTGAAGAACATATGGAACTCATAACAACTGTCAACCAATATTAAAG